AGATTCAGTACAGTGTCATCACCTGAAATGGCTGATCATCCTATAAACACAGATGTTGGTTCTGATAATTTTAGCATCATTATAAGTCCCAGATCATGTATTAGTCCCTACCGACAAAGTCGAAGGGGACTTTAGGTTTACACTCCGTCTGTCTGTCTGTCAGTCTGTCTGTCTGTCCTTCTGTCAGTCCGGCAAATCAGCTTTCCATACTTTTTTTCTTCGTTCTTGAAGATATTGATTTGATATTTGGTATATAGTTTTATCATGACAAGTTATAAAACAAATTCAAATTTTGTTACGGTCTGATGATTTAATCCAGAGTTATGGACCATAACTCTTGACCATATCTAATGTTAGAGTACTATGTTAAACCATATTTCTGTACAAAGGGAGATAACTAATTTTTTAAAAGACATTCTTTGTTCAATTTATTTGAAGAATTTTTTGGCAGGTTTGTTAGTTATTTAGTATAAACTAATTTTCTGAATGCTATATATATATATATAAAAAAAATTATGAAGAGAAATCCTTTAATTAGATAATAATCTATTTTTATTATGTATATATTTCAATACATTTGTGTAGATAAAAGTTGTTGACATTTTATAGATAAGTTACAAATCTATATTAGTTTGTGACAAATGAAAGAAAAAATATTTGGAACTATTAATTATATTTGATTATAATTTGAAAATAGATATACACTGTATTACATCATATCTAATTTTAGAGAACTATTAATCATAACTTATGTTTTTTCATCATGCTTATACATATTGATTGATAATTGGTATATAGTTTTATCATGAGAAGTTACAGATCAAGTTCAAATTTTTGTTTCGGTCTAATAATTTTGTGCAGAGTTATATAATTATGGTCTGTGGACTTGAAAAATTCACTCATATAATCAGTTTTCCACACTGTTTTTAGTCATGCTTGAAGATATTGACATGAAATTTACTTTTTGTTTACACCATGGCAAATTATATAACAAGTTAGCATTTTGTTCCAGTATAATGAATTTTTAGCTCACCTGGCCCGAAGGGCCAAGTGAGCTTTTCTCATCACTTGGCGTCCGTCGTCCGTCGTCGTTAGCTTTTTACAAAAATCTTCTCCTCTGAAACCACTGGGCCAAATTTAACCAAACTTGGCCACAATCATCATTAGGGTATCTAGTTTAATAAATGTGTCCGATGACCCCGCCAACCAAACAAGATGGCGGCCATGGCTAAAAATAGAACATAGGGGTAAAATGTAAATTTTGGCTTATATCTCTGAAACCAAAGCATTAAGAGTAAATCTGACTAGGGTAAAACTGATTATCAGGTCAAGATCTATCTGCCCTGAAATTTTCAGACAAATCTGACAACCTGTTGTTGGGTTGCTGCCCCTGAATTGGTAATTTTAAGGAAATTTTGCAGTTTTTGGTTATTATCTTGAATATTATTATAGATAGAGATAAACTGTAAACAGCAATAATGTTCTGCAAAGTAAGATCTACAAATAAGTTATTATGACCAAAATTGTCAGTCGACCCCTTTAGGAGTTATTGCCCTTAATAGTCAATTTTTAACAATTTTTTATTGTAAATTTTTGTAATCTTTTACAAAAATCTTCTTCTCTTAAACTACTGAGACAAATTTAACCATACTTGGCCATAATCATTACTTGGGTATCTAGTTTAAAATATTTGTCCGATGACCCCGCCTTCCAACCATCATGGCCGACTTGGTTAAAAATAGAACATAGGGGTAAAATGCAGTTTTTGGTTTATATCTCTGAAACTAAAGCATTTAGAGCAAATCTGACAGGTGGCAAAATGTTCATCAGATTTAGATTTATCTGCCCTGAAATTTTCAGACAAATCCGACAACCCGTTGTTGGGTTGCTGCCCCTGAGTTAGTAATTTTACAAAAATTTTGCAGTTTTTGTCGAGCCTTCGACTTTTGTCGAAAAAGCGAGACATAGCGATCCTACATTCCGTCGGCGTTGTCTTCGTCGGCGGCGTCCACAAATATTCACTCTGTGGTTAAAGTTTTTGAAATTTTAATAACTTTCTTAAACTATCCTGGATTTCTACCAAACTTGGACAGAAGCTTGTTTATGATCATAAGATAATATTCAAAAGTAAATTTTGTAAAAAAAAAATTCCATTTTTTCCGTATTTTACTTATAACTGTTATAAATGGACTTAGTTTTTCTGCCAGGAAACATTACATTCACTCTGTGGTTAAAGTTTTTGAAATTTTAATAACTTTCTTAAACTATCCTGGATTTCTACCAAACTTGGAAAGAAGCTTGTTTATGATCATAAGATAGTATCCAGAAGTAAATTTTGTAAAAAAAAATTCCATTTTTTCCGTATTTTACTTATAAATGGACTTAGTTTTTCTGCCAGTTAACATTACATTCACTCTGTGGTTAAAGATTTTAAAATTTTAACAACTTTCTTAAACTATCCTGGATTTGTACCAAACTTGGACAGAAGCTTGTTTATGATTAAAAGCTAGTATCCAGAAGTAAATTTTGTAAAAAAAAAAATCCATTTTTTCCGTATTTTACTTATAAATGGACTTAGTTTTTCTGCCAGTTAACATTACATTCACTCTGTGGTTAAAGTTTTTAAAATTTGAACAACTTTCTTAAACTATCCTGGATTTGTACCAAACTTAGACAGAAGCTTGTTTATGATTAAAAGCTAGTATCTAGAAGGAAATTTTGTTCCATTTTTTCCGTATTTTACTTATAAATGGACTTAGTTTTTCTTCCAGTTAACATTACATACAGTCTGCAGTTTAAGTTTTTAAAACATTTATTAGATTCATAAACTATCCTGGATTTTTACCAAACTTGGACAGAAGCTACTTACAATCAAAAGATAGTATAGAGAGGAATATTTTTATTAATTTTTTTCCTCATTTTTGCTGAGCCTGTGATTAACAGCAAAAAGTAGGCGAAACACTGGGTTCCGCGGAACCCTTACGAATTTTTGTTATTATCTTAGATATCATTATAATATCTAATATCTAATACTATTAATTATGATTTTAACCTTATTTTACATGATTTCCCAAGCATCAGTAAATACAGGTGAGCGACACAGGCTCTTGAGAGCCTCTAGTTACCCGGTAGGGGACTATGTATTGCCATGCAATACTCTCAGAATGCTTGTTAATATTATTTCTCTTAATTTTGTGCTGTTTTCACATTTCTTGACCGGTGTGAGAAAAATATTTCTCCTCACTCATTTGTCACTTGTGAAATATTTGTTCTCAGCAAATGATTGGTTGTAATTTAGTTATGACCTTAAATTTTCTTGATTTCATCTGAATTTCCTATTGTGACATGCTGGAAAAAGGCGACCATGTCTGATGACGTCACATATAAAGAACACAACTTTCTGCAAATATTTGAAAAGGTAGGATAAAAATCATTAAGGAAACAGATTCCACTTCTATGACTCGTGTATTATGATATTTCTCCACTCTCAACAGTTAAATTTTAATTATTTAAAAAGCCTGGCAAGCCTCGTGCTTTAGATATTAAAATTTAACTGTTGAGAGTGGAGAAATATCGTAACACACTTGTTGAAGTGATGAAATCTACATGTATATATATATTTAACGCAACAATAAAATTTAATCAATTAGTCTAGTGATTTATTTGTACATGTACTACATAAATAGGTGATTATTAATGAAAGACAACTCTTACTTGTAACATTTCTGGACAAAATGTTACTTGAATTAGTGATTTAAGAAACTGTTCATTGAAGTATTATTATAATTCCCCTGTTGGATGGACTGGAGGAGCAATACAAATATTTCCAGAGAACTCCTCAAAACTCAATATGAACAAGCTTAAGAGAACCGATAGATATTACCTGAAAACTTTATTATATACATGTATGGAGTAAGACTGCTTTTTAAATAATACAGTGCCTTATGCTGTTTACCTAATGTTAAGTTAACATGTATGTCATGTATGTGATCATGGTGATACTTGAATTGTAGTTAAGCCTTTATCTATAAGACTTGCAACATAAATTCAATGGTCAGTAAAGCAGGCGAGACATTTCAGCATTTGCACTCTTGTTATGGAACATTGGTAGTGTTAAGTTTATGTGATACTTGTAGTAAAACCTTAAAGCTTCATATCACAGACTTTTATCATAAATTCAATCAGACATTTGAAGTAAAGCAGGCAAGACATTTTAGATTGTGCACTCTTGGTTAATTTTGTGGGATAAATTAAAGGAAGCCTTTTGATTTCCATGTACATATAATGTATGCTGTAAGGTCGGTACTTCTAAGGGCTATGTACTCAAACACAACAATTTACCCACATGCTATATTTATTCCTCAGTCTTTAAAGACCGGACATATTATGGTATATTGTTGTCCATCCATCTTCAACACTTTGGACAATAACTCAAAAGGCTTTCACCAATTTTCATAAATTTTTGGTGAATTATTTATATCTATCATGTCTATTGGCGTAAGCAACAATATTAATGTACCTTTCAATTTTTGTAAATTTTAGATTTTACATTTCCAAGTTATTGGATTTTATGCATAAACAAATGCATGAAATGGGGGATTTTCCAGTTTTCTGACTAAAACTCAAAAAATACCTTGAGCAATTTTCATGAAACTTTGGTGAATTGTTGACATAAGTTCCCTTTTGTTTTTTGTTTTTTTTATTTCTGATTTTACTTTTCAAGAGTCAATAATTCATGTAATTGGGACTTAATTCATAAAAAAAGTTTTTTTTCTCCAGATTTCGAACAATAACTCAAAAACATTTTGTGCATGCGCAGTAATCAGAAAACTATGGTGACTTGTTTGTATCTATTGATATAAGCTTCCTTTTGGCATGTTTGGTTTTTATCAATTGCTGAAATGACATTACAGAGTTATGGAACTTTATTCGTTGAAAAATTGTCCTTATGATTGTAAGTTGTCAAATTCACAGTCTGTGTTTCAATTTTTCAGTCAGGTATCTGTAAGTGTATTGAAAGGTGAGAGGTTCATCATTGCATTGTATCGCCTGTATGAGAAAATTCAGAAGCAGAGGCGTACTAGATACAGACTATATGAAGGAATGTTCACACAGTTAGTAGTTACTCTTGGTGAAATATGTTACTTAGAGGCAGAGTGAGTATTTACACATTTATTTATTATAATGCATAATCAGGGATTAAACATTGCTAAACTTAAGGGTCACCAGATTTTTGGTTGGGTGAATATATTTATCGTCCTGATCGATCAGTTGTAAAGTATTTAGCTGTGAATCCCATTAATTCTACCCTTTCCCCGCAATATAAACAACAACTGTTCAGAAACAGAAATCTGACTGTTAAATCAGAGAGGGAAAATTGAAGAGTTAATTTCTGGAAACCAGAAAGTTCCTCAACAGGCTTTATAACCAAAACACGATTGGACATCTTAGTTTTCAATGTGAAGTCATGATTTGACATATACCCCTTCTCTAAACACTGGTTCTTATCTCTCGTCTAACTCTTCTACGATTTTTTCATTATTGTTTAGTTTTTACGTCCAAACTTTTGAATCTGAACTGCATCAAAGATCCATTCCAGTTGTCCAGGGAGTCATTACAATAGAAAAACAAAGGATATGGGGTATCTAACCATGACACAAAATAAGTACATGAACAGCAAAAAACACACAAAAAGCAAAGGAACAGCGCTTTTATTGCTGTTCTTCATCTCAAAGTCACAGTGAGGTCTTCAAAACAGGGGAAAAAAAACTCTCACCTTACTGCAACTTTGAGACGGCCCCTATCATCGGTTTCAGCAGAATTCTTTACAAAATGATTGGGATAGAGATCTCCAAGACTTTGTAAGATGTATCCCACCAAATTGGGCCCGGTCAAAAAGAACATACTGGAAAGTAGTACATAATGAAAACAAAATAGTTCCTATGCATAGTTGTAAATATGAAAATGTGTAGAATATATTTTAGTTATTAAGGTATCAAATGAAAGGTGAAGGACTGGTGATCCTTGTAGAACATATACTGACAAATTGACTGATTAAATATTATGAATAGTACAAAAATGTATGAATGAATTCTAAAATTTAGGGCATATATTGCCTGTTTCTCAGATATGAAGTAACAAGCCCGTTTTATACAATAACTGGTACACACATCACTATTTACAAAATCTTCAGTGAGAAAAAGAAACGCAAATGCAAAATCTCCTAAATAAATTTCAAAATTTCTAGTTTCCTATTCAATCTTCAATAAAAAGTAATTGAATAATATTTTTGATCAACACTATTAGAGGATGGCTTGGATTTGAAATAGTGTTTTATGTTTCATAGAAACAGCTGTATTGTCAAAATGTCAATAGTAAGATCAAATTGAAGGGAGACAATTTTTGTGGGAAATGTACTAAAATCAGTAATGTCAAATCTTATGATAATATTTCTGGTGGCAATGATTTAAATAGTATAAAGTTATCACACCTAATCTATTCCAGGCTCAAAAGCTACATATAGGATTACATAAAAAGGCTTTATTAGTATATATGAAAAGTGCATTTAAGTTTTATTTTATCAGTACAAAAATTGGTTGGGCCCCTGAAAATAATATTTTTGGGGCCCAGCTGGCCCCTGGAGAAAAAGAGTTTAAGTTTAATCCCTGCAAAATGTATGGGGTTGGCAGTTTCTTTTTCTATAAATTGTTCTCAACAGCCTTTTGTGTATTTTGGCAAGCCTGCGACTGTTGTTGCAGAAAGCTCGACATAGGGATAGTGATTGGCTGGCAGCCACGGTTGCGGCTACAGCAGCATTAACTAACTTCTTAAAAGCTTAATATTTTAGGTGGATACTTGATACCTTGTTAATAGATGCCTTATGTTATGAAGTTTCTGTCTGTCATATGTCTGATGTCCTTGACCTCATTTTCATGGTTCAGTGATCATGACTACTTGAGATTTTTTGTAATGTTATTGCGAACCAAATGAAACTTTTCCACAGATTCATCTCCTATTGCATTGTATTTGTCAATCTATTTTAACTTTTGTAAGTTCTTTTGTCCCATTGAATAAATACAATAGCTATTTGAAAGTTTTGTCAGAAATGAACTTAAATTAATGTTTGAATCACTGTTTACATTCAACAGATCGAAAATATATTATTAATATTGAATAAATACAACATCACATGCAGTTTTTTGTCAAGCCTGCGACTTTTGTCACAGAAAGCTCGACATAGGGATAGTGATTTGACAGCGGCGGCCGCGGCGTTTACTAACTTCTTAAAAGCTTTATATTTTAGAAGGTGGAAGACCTGGATGCTTCATACTTTGTATATAGATGCCTTATGTTATGAAGTTTCTGTCTGTCACATGTCCATTGTCCTTGACCTCATTTCATGGATCAGTGAACAAGGTTAAGTTTTGGTGGTCAAGTCCATATCTCAGATACTATAAGCAATAGGTCTAGTATATTTGGTGTATGGAAGGATTGTAAGGTGTACATGCCTAACTGGCAGGTGTCATCTGACCTTGACCTTATTTTCATGATTCATTGGTTATAGTTAAGTTTTTGTGTTTTGGTCTGTTTTTCTTATACTATATGCAATAGGTCTACTTTATTTGGTGTATGGAATGATTGTAAGGTGTACATGTCCAACTGGCAGGTGTCATCTGACCTTGACCTCATTTTCATGGTTCAGTGGTCAAAGTTAAGTTTTTGAGTTTTGGTCTCTTTTTCTTATACTATATGCAATAGGTCAACTGTATTTGGTGTATGGAAATATTTCATGATGTACTGTCAGTCTTGCAGGTTTTATTTGCCCTTGACCTCATTTTCATGGTTCATTGCTCAGTGTTAAGTTTTTGTGTTTTGGTCTGTTTTTCTTAAACTATAAGCATTAGGTCAACTATATGTGTTGTATGGAAGGATTGTAAGCTGTATATGTCTGTCTGGCAGGTATCAACTGACCTTGACCTCATTTTTGTGGTTCATTGGTCAATGTTAAGTTTTCATAGTTAAGTTTGTTTCTTAGATACTAAAAGCAATAGGTCAACTATATTTAATGCATTATAGGTTGATTGTTAGGTGTACATGTGTGCCTGGCATGGTTCATCTGACCTTGACTTCATTTGAACGTTTCATTGGTCAAAGTTTAGTTTTCTTGGTTAAGTCTGTTTCTTAGAAACTATAAGCAATAGGTCAACTATATTTAATGTACTGAATTATTGTAAGGTGTACATGTATTTCTTGTTTGGTTTATCTGACCTTGACCTAATTTTCTTGGATCATGTTAAGTTCATGTGATAGTTGATGTAAAGCTTTATATTTAGAACTATCAACTTAATATCAATGGTTAGTAAAGAAGGCGAGACATTTCAGCGTGTGCACACTTGTGAGTATAAAACCTGTATTTTCGTGTATTTATAAGATAATTTTTTTACTCAGGTAAATTAATCAATAAGTGATAGATTTCTCTCAGAAGAAATTTAAAGGTCCCAGTGAATAAACTACACAGACATGACAGAGAACAATAGAAAATCTGACAGGAGCAAAAGGCAGATTCCATATAAGAAAGTTAAAAACTTCCCATAAGTATGTTTGGCATTAATCAACACCAATGAACTTCTGTTTTGGAATACATCACTACAAACAGCTCAGAGTCTGAAAAGACCATATTTTGTGCTCGACCAGTAAAGATTTTTCAAGACTCGACGTAATCTAGACAGTACCTAACTGTACTTAACTGTACTCGACTTTGGTCTTGACTTTACTTAATAAGTCTGATTTAGTACTTGATAATCTTGGTATAGTCTGAAATGGTCTCGACAAATGCTTTGGTGGAGTCAAACTTGTCTAATTTTCTAAGATACTCCTTCATCATTCTCATAACCAGAATTAAATGTAAACAAAATAAATGCTTGATCAATGTTTCAATCACTGTTAGATTAAAGGCACAAATGACTTCCAATACAGTTATAAGAGTTGTCTCCTATACCCCAGGTCATTTATACCCGAAATTTGTTTTTTTCTCAATCGATTTATGAATTTCGAACAGCGGTATACTACTGTTGCCTTTATTTATCTACCCCTGTAAGCCCATGCAATAATTATAGATTAAAACATGTCCTTTTCCATATCGGCCCTTGTATCATACAGAGACTCCCATATTAACCCAAGGTACCAGCAGAGTGCTCATATTGTTCGAGGAATGATACTAGGGCCCATATGGAAAAGGATATGTTATAGATGTAATCTACATGATCTATTTATCACAAATTATACTAATACTTTAAAAGAAGAAATAATTTTATTACTTCTTCTAGCAAGATCATACATTTTTGTCCTCCACTGAAATAATGCCGCTGATATTTTAATCAATGTTCCTCATCCGTCATAGTTGTTATGAACACTTATGACGTCATTACAGGACACAAGTTATTTGCCCAGGCAGGAATATGGCTAGGCCTAATCTGCGGTTATTGCATATATGCAAAACCCAATGTTTTTGTAACAAATATGTGATAGCTGCCTTAAACCTATGCCATCTATATTCTCAAAATCCTAGCTTAAATTCTGAGTTATGTTGTATTTCTGGTTAGTCTGATTACACTCTTACTTCTTAATCTAAACTGTTTTTATCATTCAGACTGTGTTCAAGTGGAGATGAAACTATTTGGTATAAACTGAGAGGATGCAAGCGTGTTATTTCTAAACCTGATTGCAGGTTCTACAAACAGGGACAGCTGATGAATGTAAATTGTGCAGAAGTAAAGCCAAATACTGTAGTTTCTGTTATTGAGGTAAATATTCGTTTTTCTTATCAGGTCTAAATCCAGGAAATGCACCAAATAATGTAGCCAAGCCCGTATAGAAAAGAGTCAAGCCATAGCTTTAGTATTTAGGTCAACTGGCCCCGAGCCAGTGTGATTTTTTTCCTGTCACTTGAATTGGCGTCCATCATTGTTGTCTGTTAGCTTTTGCAAAGATCATGTCCTCTGAAACTTCTGGGCACAATTTAACCAAACATGACCACACTCATCAATGAGTTATTTAGTTTGAAAAGTGTGTCTCAAGATCCCGTCTGTCAACCCACATAGCTAAAATAGAATATAGGGGTAAAATGCAAGTTTTGCCTTTTATCTTGAATCCGCTATAGATATATGTAGGACTTGGAGGTGTGATGGTCTGTGCTAAAGAGCAATGGTTCTTTGCTGATGTGTGATGGTCTATAAGATGCGTGATGTCTAGTTTTAAACTTACAGATGTCCAATTGTTATGAGAGCTTGAAAGATAGTATATATATATACCAAACATTCAATATTTTCTCCAGTTGCAGTAAAAAAACATTGGTGATCTATCTTACTCCTTGTTCTGATTCACAGCAGCCGTATAGATTTTTTGCTTTTTTCGTTTCGTTCTTACTAACCAAGAAGTATTTGCAATTGGTATTGGTTTAAATGTTTAAATGGAAAAAAAGTGTTTGTGTGTAGCCTCAATTTCTGAACAATTGTATGAACGACTGCTATTTTTTCGTCTAAGCTATTTACAAAGTATAATGTACACTGCAACGTTACAGCAAGGACTTAAAATGCAATGACTATTAATAATGACTGTTCAGGCATCTCCATGACCTGTTTTATGATGGCGCACCGCCAACGTTAAATTATCTTCCGCCATCTTCAAATGATCTCCGCCATTGTCAAAATTTGTTTTCCTTTCATTAGCCACTGCCATTTTTGTTAGCAATTATAATCAATTGCATGTAATTGTACAACCCTTAATCTTGTTGTATTATAATTCAAAGGATCCTAATTACAGAAGCCCTGAGGGATATCTGACTACACATGGCTAGATTTACACACCTGACAGAAGTACCCTTATTTAATTACGTTTCTGTAAATGCTAAGAAAAAAAAATTAAGATTAAAAAATAAATTTTAAATCCAGTTAGGATGAAAAAAGTTTAAAAAGTCAACCACATGCTTTTACTTAGACTTACGCAATCAGCATCCCCCTTTTTAAACTAGTACAAAATAAGACGTAAAACAGAAAATAATTTCATGCCAAATAACCTGATTACAACAATTATCCATTATTTTGAATCACTTTACAGGTTTAAAGGTAAATACATGAATATTAAATGCAACTTGATAATCTGAAGAAATTTCGTATCGTAGTTTGGAATCCATTTCATAGCTTAAAATCAAATTTAAACATCTGGTTTTCATTTGGAATCGAAAGATGGGTGTTGCATATTCTATTACCATGAAATTTGCAATTTAAAGTCATTAAAACCATTTAAGTTGTAAACGTTTGCCCTCAAAATCTTTCTTCAACGTTTTACAAAACGGGTATGCAACTTCTTGTTGTTGATGCTGCAAATAGTTGATACTGGTTCATGACTTCTGAATTCGACCATGAAAAAAAGATCCCCCTGATTTGTAAGTCAGTGTTCCAGCTAGGATTTCAAAAGGGCAGGGTGCCAATCCTGAAAAAGGGCATTTAACACGTGATATGATAATATGAAAAGGGCATGTTTTAATAAAGATTATAATCAAACATTGTTTGTTCATTGAATCACTGGTTATATATATATACAAGAACAACATCATTAGCCCAGAGAAAAACTATCTTTCTACTTTTTAGGCTGAAAACTGATCAAGCAGCTTGTCACACAAGTTTTAAATCATTGCTTGGCACAGTTAAGCTTTATATGCAGTATTTTTTGAAAAATGTCCTGCTTCATTCTGTTTCTATGGTCTGACACACTTTACAAGTTTCACCTTTCTACCTTTTCTGTGCTTAATGGCAATACAGCACAAAACAGCTGTAAATGCACAATGTTACATGTAGGATATAGTGAACAGTGAAAATTTGGATTGAAAATAAAAAATACAGAAAAAGATGACCAAGGCACCCTACCAACCCTGCTACTAAGACCCTCTTTAACTTTTCCCATAACTCAAAACACCTAAACATATAAATTATAAAGCCAGAAGTATGAAGACATATTTTATAATATCTTAGTAGGTTACTCAATGCTAGGAAAAAATAAGATTGAGTTATCTTTCTTTATTTGGGTGTGCTCCTTCTTTGGAGGATAATAAACAGTACGTAGAAGATGTCAATACGATCAACAATATGGCCGCCGATTTTGTTATTTTCGTATAATGAAGGCGGTCAATGAAAAATACATCTTAATTTGCTATTTATTTCAGGGAAAACAATAAGAGCAATGTTTTTAACGAGTTGATTATGGTTTTCGACTTTCTGTCAATTACGTTTTCTCCATGAAATGGTAAACATTGCTAATTGTGCCCAAGTTGTATGAACATTTCTTCAAGTTCAAAGACAAATGCCGACTGACCGATTCTATTTGAATGAATTAATGTTGATGATCATTAAATGACCCATCTGATAAACGGATTACCTTTAACAACAGATTATGACACCTGTTGTAACCGTTGATTAGCTTGGGGTCGTAAACAAAGTCATATACTTGTCGCCAGGTAAATTTTCGTAATTGGCTGATCATATCAATACGAACAAAATAATATACCAATCTATCTACAAAAAAGGCAGGGCGCCCTGCAAACTGTAAAAAGGGCACAGGGCGGCACTCGGGAAAGGGCGGGCAGACCGCCCTGTGAAAACGACCTTGCTGGAACACATTGTAAGTCCTATACCATTACCATAATAATAGCAAGAAAACGACTTGGGAATATCAAGGGCAGCATGTGGTCTGTCTTGGCTAAAGGGGAATCATGCAGGCTTGACATTTGAATTGTTGCAAATGACAATTAACGAAAATATTGGTTATTCTATAATGAAATAAATATAATAAGCAATATATCAGTTTGATCACCATTCCTTACATAAAAATGGAAGAATGAAATACTTTCGATCACAATGAGCCGTAGACGAGGGTTTTTTGTCATGGTGAACATGGTGAAAGTTCCTTCATCGTTCAATTTTGATCAATGGAGATTCCTGACTGTTTTAAATTAAACAGGTTATACTCTCGATGTTTTACATAAAAAAAACTAAAATCTACTTATAACAAACAAAATGACTTAGTCATCGACATGTGAACATAAAAATCAATGAACCACCATCAAATGTCGGCATAGCTATCAACAAGATAGCTTCACAATGCCACCGTCGCAATTCTGCATGATCAAAAATGCACTTCAGCGTTAAACATCCCATATCAGCATGACCATCGCGGTTCAGAATCCTACATATATATATATATATATATATATATATACAGTGTTCTCCCCAGGCCATTAAAGGACCGCGGGCCCGCGATGTATAATTTTTGTCTGTGGTGCTAAAATTTTCAGTTAAAAAATCGTAAATCGGTAAAGTTTTAAACGACTTGTTAAATCTTTTTGGTGCGGTATAAAATTTTAGGTGAAATTTGACCAGTTCAAACCAGATTGTTTACACCACGTGAGGTTAACCTTGTTGATTAAATATGGCCGCCGAGCTGTCAACACCATAAAAATCAGCTCCTCAGTTTTTGCAGAATTAAGTTATTTTTTCAAGGTGCCATTAATAAAAACCAATACCAAAGGATGAAGAAGTGAATTTGGATTCTTAATATATATGTTTTGAAGAAATATGATGTGGAATTACTTACCTATGAGCTTCTGAAGAATTTCCATTTGGATTTTTAGAATTGAATTATTGATTTTCTGTTGTGAGCAGTTATATTGTCTAACAACATTATGCCTGGAGGCAATTCTTTACCAAGTAATAAAACTGGACAAAATCCTTAGGAAAAGAAATTCAAAAATTTGTAATCAAGTTAAAATTTTATGAAATATTTATACTTACCAGTCAGAAACATACTTTTGGATTATCTTTCTTTACTACGTTCATAACTCGCAAACACACAGATGATCTTGATTCAAACATTAACTAACCCAGATCATCCGTGTGGTTCATGCATCAGTTTATCGGCGTGTACAAAACACCTGCACTGAAATTAAAGCATGGGGCGGCGGTGGGAATATTGACTGGTAAGTATAAATATTTCATAAAATTTTAACTTGATTACAAATTTTTGAATTTTATTTCAATTATTTATACTTACCAGTCAGAAACATACTTTTGGATAGATTCCAAAGTAGTCCTTCTACTGAACTGGAGGTGTACATGGTGTATGCTGTATAAATTTCTGTCATCTAAATTGCACCTTATGTACAAATGTCTATATATAATAATAACACATCAATAGTTCAACACAAAATAATGTTCATCATGAAATCATCATATTTAAAATATTTCCACCAATAACAAAATTCTCCAATGCAACTCGCCGAAAAATTTAACATATTTACAAATTGTCTAATACATTGACTGACAAATCTCTCAGATAGAATTTTCCAAATGTGGACTCTGAACTCCAATCAGCTGCTTCTAAAATAGAATTTATAGATGCACCTTTGTATAAAGCCCAAGAGGGTCCAACTGCTCTAGTTGAATGTGCTTGATATTTTTCAATGAAGAATCAGGATACGCTAATTTAATCACTTGAATGATCCATTTAGAAATAGTTTGTGACGTTACAGGCTTATGCGGTTCACATGTTGAAAGGAATAGTTTTCCCTGTTGGTCTTTATCTAAACTACTTCTAAATACCTTTGTTCTTTCTAAATATTGTAACAGACATGTAACAGGATCTAACTTTTTATTGTCTGTGAATGCAGGAACAACAATTTTTGAATTTCTATGATTTTGTCGATCCTGCTTTGCCAAACCACTTCTAATAAATGTAATGCCTTTTTGTTGTA